ACGGTAAAAAAGACTCGACTCCCAATCGGATCCGGTGCATAATATAATAGTATTGTATATATATTTGTCACCATATTTAATTTTCAATTATTCGGGTAAAACTGGGAATAACAATAATTGCGTGGCGGGCTTTAAACTCTTGCATGCGGCTGTGTACATTTCTCCATGGTTCAGAAATAAAACACCCCCAAATTTTACATTTTTTCCAAAAGGTTCTACGCATGTGACTAATGTGTTTATGGTTTCTAATCAGTAAAATTTTTTACCGTGTAACTCCGGAACAATCGCGATATTATGTCATACTGTGTTACACAAAGAAATACAAAGTGAAAGTTGTTATAACGAACTGGTTGTTTCGTCCGTAATATCGGCAAGTCTACAATATTGGTTTGTGAGCGTTATATCAGATATTGTTTAGTAAACAAATTTTGTCTCAACAAAAAGATTTGTTTTATCGAGATTTGCTGTTGTTGTATCGACTTTTACTGTATAACAATACCCCATTAAACTTTATTATTCGCAGATTCTCACACTCCTTATTGCATACGTAACAACATTTATACTTATAAGGTTAATGTGCGAAGCAATGAGGAGCACAAATATGTCATATTTCGTCATTTAACACGCGAATACGCGTCTACTCATACATGTATATATACCCTGATGCTTTTCTCCATCACACATTTATTGCTTCAAATCAACAAACTCTTCTCCACATAATACACAACAAGAAATCTCTTTGATATTACGCACATATGGCACAAAAGAAAACAGTGAACTCTTATCACTCAACATGGCTTATTGGCGACTACTATTTATAAAAAGTTTTGCTTAGACATTACGCAAGTATCAATTTACCGTAACAAGCTCCAAGCAACAAATACAACGTAAATTACAACGAACCAATTTTTGCCGCCACTCTATACTACGCGCATACGGCAATTGGTACAACTCACTAACAAGGAAATTTGGACATGCCTCACAATATACATTCTGACATTTCCCTTTATTGCGTATGCATCACTTTGCGACAACATTTTTTCCTTCAAAGCGAAATTCCAAACAATTTTGCCGTCCCTCCATATTACGCTCTACAACAGTCCGACGACTGATGGAAGAGCTCAAGCACCAACGTCTACTTAACATAACATATAATTCGGTTGTTCTCTCTCTAATGTGCAACATCGCTTCGCAACAGCGTCTTCTCTCCATAACAACGTATAGTTCCTTGTCGCTACTCTATATTACGAACACATTCGACGGTTTGCTACAGTTCACGAACAAATCCTCTAACGATGCGGTTTATTGGCCATTAACTAAGAAGTTTAACCCAAATCAAACATATCCCAGAAGCTTTCTGTTGTGCATACGTAACTTTACAGCAACATTTCTTCAATACAAGTAATTTACGCACATATGACAATTCGATACAACTCCAACGCCACGTTTTATCGACCACCAATGCATATAATTCGGACACTCTTTATATTGCAACAATCCTTTCTTCACTCCATACTGCGTACATGCGACGTGTACTACATTTTACAAACGAGTCGTCTGACAACACGCACGGCACGGTGGTCGACCACAAATGCGATGACAAGTTCAAAGGTAATGGGGGATAGATAATATTCGCACTAATGGACTCTGCTTTCTACTCGGTTCACTAGGTGGCTACTCTCTTTCGTCTTTAACCGGTGGACGGGTGCGGATCCGGATCGAGTAGCGGGTAGTTACCGGTGACGCCCCGCTGCTCACCCCTTCACCAGTGCTCGCCTGCGGTGAAGTAATCCCGGCTGGGTCTGTTGAGTGTGTCACGGGGGATGCCCGGAACACTCTCAGACATCTCCTTTTATTCTTTTCTTTTTTACTTTTACACAGCTTTTAGATGACGGGGAGAAGATTTTCGGTAAGTATTGGTAAGTATCGCATTGCTTTCACGTTCTAAACTAACTCTATTTTCTCTCCTTTTTCTTCTCTCCCCCTTTTCTTTCCACTGGTGGGTATGTCGGGTGATCGGATCCAATGGGACTCTGGTGGAGCTGTGGATCGAGTTTGAGGGACCGATTCGGTGATTACTTAGTTGCTTGTGAAGGATCTGTCCCTGAAGCTAGTTAGAGATGATTGGTGAGTTTGCTGCTTGGCATGCCGACTGAAAGCAATAGTCTAATTATTATCTACCCATTGTCTTATTTAAATATGGTATATTAATTAATATAATAATCCAATACTTAATACTTTTGCGTATTTATATTAATAATAATTTATTAACGTTAATTGAAAAAAAAAAAAGTTAAAAAAATTATTAATGTATTTATAGTAACGTATATAGTATACGTACGTAGCATATATGATGAAACATGATCAGCAATATATAAAGTTAAATAAACCCACTTATTCGACTTGCACTTACGCCTACGTGACTATTATATCTTTATTCGTATCTAATTATAACTAAAATCCAACGTCTATCTCCTAAAATAGCTTGTGTTGCTGTGGAAAATGTTTTTGGATAGGTTGTTGAATAATGTCTAAAATGCCAAACTAAAACCACTGCTTATATTGACATCTTGATTCATGTTGTGTTATCAGGCTCTTGTTCTCCATTTATCAAGGCTGTATTATAACATTAGAAGCATTTTCCAAATTATATACCCAGTTAACATGAAATGCTTATGACAGATCTTCCATAATCTCTCCGAGTCAAATTACCAAATAAAAGTTCAGTTTCTGCAGTCATGTTAATCCCAACTTTGTCTAATTCAGGAACGAAACAAACACGACTTTAATGCTGAGATAAACACAGTCTGCACTTATCTGTTGTTAGTTAATAATTTAAGAAAATATGTATTATCGCGCGTGCCGTTAACTTTTCGTCAACTAGGTTTTATATGACTGTTCATAACAGCCATTCCAAATTTTTCTGAGAAAAGTAGTTCGTTTAATTTCTTAGTATGTAAGCTGCAGCATCTCGACTGACACTGAAATTTTTTTGCGTTCAACGAATGTATTTGAGTACATAAAAATTATCTTGCATGCTGATAACAATTTTTTTACTTGAACATCGGCTAAAGTATAATATTGTTCCATCACTTTACGTCTAAGCTTTGGAAATTGCCTTCGCTTAAAGTGTTGTTTAGGGAAGATGTCATGGAAGAAAAACTAGTACTAAGAACACTTTACTTGTCATGCATCCGTTTGTTGGATGTATTATTTGTTTGGTAATCTAGTCGCCGAGTCAGCATTCGCAAATTTGATCAAAAGTTGAGCTTTCGGCTTTGTACAATGATTGCACCTGAACAAATAATGTTTATTTGTGTTGCTATACATAATCATAAAATGGTCACTTCGTTTTGACATCATTACGCGCTTATATTCACAATTCGGTAACACTGCTTCAACGTGCAGGACAACAACTCTATTACTTTGTAAATGACAGTTTCATTAATGGTTAACTTAATCTATTGTTAGAATTTTTGCTTGTATCACTTTATTCTATTATCTATTAGTCGGCCATATTATGCAAATGAACTTATCCCACAAACGACCGATCAAAGATCTATTTTATTCTCCATTATTTATTATACAAAGCCGAATCTCAATTGATCCGTATTAAGATTACAATACATTAGCACGGTACAATCTTTAGCATATTTGCTTAGACGGCAAGCCCTTTTCATGACAACTGACGTCATTTTAATTATTTGCACAAATGATGCGTAATCACATCCATGTGAAAATTCTGTTCCATTCTAAATTTGTAAGTTTGCAGACATGCTTGATTGTCACTTCACCAAATTTAAATTCTTAAATGAATGTTATTTTAATTGCCATTTTCTGATACCACGAAATGTTGCATTTTCCTCGGACATGTTGGTTAACTAGCGAATAAAGTACAATTTGTGTACATTAACAGCGGCTCAGTTATGATAAATGCTGGTAATAAAATTACTCGCATTCACACATTCTATTTCTCACTCAAGCGTGCAAGTACACACACACAAAAACACACAAACAACACAAACAACATACATTGTATACACGTATACACATACACACCCCCCAGACTCGCACGCACACCGCACAAAGAACTCGAATTTCAAGACGACGATTAATTATAACAATAACTTTTACCGAAACTAGGAAGGTGCTCTAATTTAACAAAACGAAAATACATCAATATGGATTATAAGCTTATAGATTATCATGTGCAGGTTTGTTTTGTTTAGATATTTTGACGAATTCTTAAAAGCAGGCTTTGAAAGATATGGGAATTAAAAAAAAGAAAAGCTGTTATTTATGTATCACGAGTCTAACCAAATGAGTAAACCTCTTTTATCAAGAATCAAATCTTATGCATGGGCTGAACTTTAATGCATTTGGCACGTGAGTCCAGACTATAGATATTATCGCCATCGAGTCTAAAATACCCCACATTCTAACGATTATTTACTTGTAAAATTCTCTGACTAGCGACCTCCCAATTAGGCTTACAACATACAACGAGATTAATAAAAAACTTTGGAAAAAACATCGGCAGTTGTACAAAATTGTAGGAAATTCTCATCAATGGCAAAAAGTCACAGAACCCCAACAATTTTGCGCATAAAACTAATCCTTTTATAGTTAAAATAGTATTACCAACGTTTCAAATAAAGTAGCATAAACGCAGTTGTCATAAACAAACAATCGTTTCACAAGAACTAAATATGCAAAACACTCTTATACAATAAGACAGACATGCATCTTTGTCTTATCTCCGTTTGTTCTCATTTATGTATGGCTGTGTTCGTTAACCTGTCAATGGTCAGGTTCTGTCATATGAAATGTAAATAACAAGGTTGCCCAAATGACCATTGTAAGGTAATAAAGTCAAAAGTCTGAGAACTCGTTTGTTCAAAAAAGATTATCATCAATTATTGGTCAGATACCTTCCAAAAGTCTCATATATATATTTATAGATTTCGTCCTCCCTTTCTCCATTCACATATCGAGACACGATGCCGGCAGTTCTATCAACGCTTATGGACTACAAAAGTCTCCTGTTAGATGATATAAAGAATTTACTTAGGCCAGATAGTAACTTTGACGTGTCCATATCTGCCGGCAGGGATCTGGCAAGGCAGACGTTTCGGGCTCATAAATTTATATTGAGTCTTCGCTCGCCCTTTTTTCGTAAACAGTTGGTCGAAAGAGAGATGGAAGAGAACGAAGGGATAGCCGAATACACAGGGGACCCGTGTACTTTTAATTTTGAAGACATTTCACCGCCCGTGTTTGATGTCGTGCTTCAGTATGTTTTTCTTTTCGGCAGTTCATCTGTTGCAAGTTATTGATATCAGATGTAATACTCTTTTATTTTTAAATTCCAGGTATATATACACGGGGATACTTCAGATACAAAACCTCACTGATCGCATGGGTGTCTTTTTGGAATTAGTTTCGATTACTCACACGTTGGAATTGGATCATCCTTGCAAGTACGCGCAAGCCTATACGCAAAGAAAATACGAAACAGAGCTGAAAGCTGAGTTTGTGAGAGTCAAAAACTTCTGCCAAAAACACCGCAACCTCAGTATACTCCAAAAATTCGTTGACAGGACTATCCTCGGCAACAACCCTGACGTCGTTTTCGATGCCGTTGATTTGAATAAATTGGATCGACCGACGTTGGAGAAAATCGTACGACGACCTGATTTGCTTACACCAGAAATCAAAATATGGGACAAAGTCTTGGAATGGGCCAAGGCACAATCACCAAGTCTTCCAAAGAATGCCGAGGACTTTAGTAACGATGATTTCATCGAACTTGGCAAACGCCTAGAACCATTTCTTCCTTACATTTACATACGCCAAGTCCAGCCAAAAGATTTTTTCCATAGCGTGCAGCCGTATCAAGAATCTCTGCCAAAAGACTATTACAACAAAAACTTGAAATTCTTTCTTGATACCGAAAGCCGCGACGTCCAGCAACATAGATTAGGATTTGACTCGAAACTGCTCAATCGGACGCGATGTGCTGCCATTGTAAATTGGATTGACTCGGAGTCTTTCAACAATGATCCATCAAGCACTCGCTACGCGTTGAAGCTCATTTACCGTGCAAGCAACGATGGGTTTAACGATACGGATTTTCACAGACTTTGCGATAACAAAGGCCCAACCGTAGTAGTAATCAGAGTAAAAGAGACGGGAGAAATTCTCGGAGGATACAACCCTTTGTCTTGGGATAAGACTAATCAGTACAAAGCGACCGACAAGAGCTTCTTGTTCAACCTGATAACTATAGAAGAGACGGAAGCCTACAGGGGCATACCGGAGAAACGTTCTAAACTGCAAAGGTTTAAAGTTATCCAAAGCGACAAGGCGATTTATTGTGGGGCTAACTATGGTCCTACGTTTGGGAAGGGTCATGATCTGGTCGTGTTCGGTCCAGGTCTAATGGCTAGGCCATCTCATTGCAAAAAAAGTTCGTACGAAGCACAGCTGAGAGAAGGACCTAATACTAATTTTGTTCCCGAAGAAATCGAAGTTTTTCGAGTGGTGGAATTAAATAACGCGGATTGGCCGTCTGTAGAATAGTTTGATTATGGCCAATTTCTATTAATGTTGCTTGATAGGATAGAGTGGAATGGGAATGGGTTTATGTGAGTGGGAAATGCGAATGGATGGTTCGCGTAGTATATATATATATATGGGTAGGAGCAATTTACAATTCGTGATTGTAGACATGTGTATATTAAAAGCATTTATAATAAATGCGTTCATCTATTTATTAACCTCATACCCGATAATTCCCTTCCCTTTATTATCTAATAAGACCCCTCCCTCCCACCATTACCCAATTATTAGAAATATGTGCGTGCGTGTGTTGTGTGTGTTGTGTGTGTTGTGTGTGTGTACATATATGATTGTGTGTGTATGTGTGATTGTGCGTGTGCGTGTATTATGTAGTGTAAATGTTTGTAAATGTGTATAAGTGTGTGTATATAAGTGTGTAATTGTTCGATGAATAATATTATGAACTAGCTTCTTTGACATGCCACACCTGGAATTGGTCGACCGAAAACTTTCCACTATCTAACGCTCTAATGTGCTTCGTATAAGCATGCCGTCTGCAGAAACACTCTTTATCCTTCTTGAAATCACCATACATCACCAAATCCCAATCTCCAAATATCGGACCAAATTTCCCATGACAATGTACCGCCAACTGCGGATGTGCTACTCGAGATACGACCAATTTTCCGTTCGTCAAAGTAAACAGAAACGAATACGACGTCTTTATTCGCACGTCCGACGAATTCCAACTACGAGGATTAAATCCTCCGATAATCTCTTTCGTCTCTTTGATCGACATTACTATTATTGTCGGTCCTTGATTATCGCACAGTTTATGAAATGTCTCTGATGTATATCCGTCTCGACATCCATCAAGGATCAACTTGAACTTGTATGGTGTACTGTTAAATTTGTCTGAAGTAAGCTCCGAGTATGATGGATCTTTTCCGCCGATGTACTTTGATATCCACGTTAGCTGCTGGTTGTCCAACAAATCTTTTGGATAGCGCGTGGATGGTTTTGGTCCAAGACGAGGCAACGTTAAATCGCCCTGAAAGTTATCATGTGATAATAATTGTCTGTATGGATACACCTTTTTCACGAAACATAATTGTGATATTTCCGGAAATCTGATCAATGAAATAAACGGATCCAATACAGATTGTAGCGATTGCCAGTCTGATAAAGTCCATTTGCTTTTGTTCGGATGCAAGTTGGCTTGTGCTATTCCCCAGTCTAGCAGTCGTATCCACAGGCGGTCTTCTGGTATCGCAATCTCGTCTCGTTTTAACAGCGATTGAAGTAACTCATCATCAAGCAGTGTAAAGTCTTCGGATGCAAATATCAAATACGGTAGATCTTCGACAATGTGATTGCAATATTCTTGTAGTCGTGTAAATGCGCTGTGTGGAAGGCACGTCGAATACACCATGGCAAAGTTCTTTTCTAACCATGTCGGATTTCGTAAAAGGTACTGCTGTATGTAATCGAGAAGTTCTTGCAAACACAGCTCATCTGCTGCTTGAAGAAGGCCCAACGCAGTGAGCGGGGATATCGATTGGAGTGACAGCCGTCCAGTATACAAGTATCTGAGAAGAGGAATGGAATAAAAGTTAGAGAGGGCCGAGAGTTAGTTGACCAAACTGAAAGAAATGGGGTAGAGCATTCATTAAATTAAAATAGCAGCCATGGACGTATATACCATTGTGTCGCACGCCGTTTTAATCGCTCTACTGTTGTCATTTTACTCTCTTACTGTTCGACTTTTTGCCACATAGAAACTTACTTAACCAGAGACGCAAACACTTGGTAGCTCAAATTTGGCTTCTTAAAGACTATGATGTCATTCTGTTTCCTTGTCCAATTACTACTCAAAGCGACCTTAAAATACATCGATCTCTCTTTCAGGATGGATGAATGTGCCCAAACAATACGCACATCCGGCTCTTCTCCGACCTCAATCTTGACATCGTAATCACCATTAGATAAATCGTAAGAATGTGTCGAAAAGGAACTATTGACAAAGTCTTCGTAGGTAATCGAATCATTATAAATAAACAAGGGTTTGTTCAAGTAATATTTTAGTTCCCGCCAGAAGCGAGTCATTGTATGTGCGGCGGTTTGATCTGATATAAAGTTGGGGGAGGAAAAGATGTTTAAAGTTTTGTTACAGGGTACATCAAAATAGGTGAGGGACTCATAGGTGACGGGATGATTACCATAAGTGAGGGGATAATTGCCCATAGGTGAGGGATAATTACCCATTTGGGTCCAACCTTTTTGATTAGTCTAATACTAAACACGATGCAGGTTGAAATTTTAGAGTGGATATCCATTGCATACATTTGGAATAAATTGTTACAGTAACTTGCCAATTAGGTTAAAACCATTGGTTCCCAGGTTATTATTAATTGGGTAGAGACGACGATGTTGATTAAATGTACAATTATTTGTGCAAGGTTATTTCCCTTTTTATTTTCAGAATTTTTTTTTAAAACCGATGGACTTTATTCACACGGGGTCATTGTTACGCAAATTTTTCATCATCGTTGTACAATATCTCAATTTGGAAAACGATAATGCCAGTCATTTTTATCTTAATTTCTGACCAAAATTGTGAATAAAGTGTTCATTCGAATCATAACAATGTCATATCTAGTCTCTTCTACATCATTTAAATCGCCTTCAACAGCATTATTAGTACTCTCAAAGGATTCATTATCAACTAATCCTCTTGTCATACTTACTATAAGTGCATCCACATTCTTAACGGGGGATGGGCGCGACCAAGCCTTAACTCGAAGATAGTCTAAGCATATAGTACACTTAAATTGACATCTTTGCAGGCAACGGCTATGGTAACCATGCCCACATGCCAGAACGCTACTATTAGATGAATTGTTAGTCACATCGCAATATATGAAATCACATAATTAGGTTTTTTCGAAGTAACAAAAACCCCTTGGGAGGTAACGATCAGTTACCTCACAACCCAGTGAAACCAGCTTGTACGTGTTAATACCACTAGATGAGGTTTTAACAATCAAAAGATACTGATCACGCATTTGATATACTTTCCCGAATGTCTCCAAAAGCCATATTGCACATTTATGAGAAAGCGTGTGCAACTGCTTTGGTGGGGAAAATGTGCTTAAAATAGAAAAATACAATTCTCCTTCCTTGTATACGGATATTTCACAGACTGTGCGAAGTGTTGTTGGAAAGCGTTTTCATGTCGTTATTGAAAAATAAAGCGTGCTTCCTTCTGTAACTGCTAAGCTGTGGAAAACTTAGCAGTCCGTCGCCGGAGCAATCTCTACAGTGCACGTTTATAGTGTTTTCGGTCAAACCGCAGGAAAAGATCAGTCCAGCAACGCATGCAAGCTTCCTCATAAGCTGGCCAATTGCCTCCTCGATGATGCACCGCATAAACGTCAAGAACTAAAGAAAGAGAACATCAGTTAGATATAAAAATTCAATATTTTTGCATGTATAACCAAACTTCGAATAAACAGTATCAACTATATCAAACCATGCCATATGTACGATATGTAATATTAGGTCGATTCTCCGTGGTCATGGCTTCTGACCAAGACTTTTATGTATACCAAATGTCGTTGAATAAAACATGAATTCTGCAAAAAGACTGTTTCACGTGCATTCAAAGAGACAGGTAAAAATGACGTAACGCAATCGGGAACGCTTTCATTCTGACAAGTAAACGTTGCCGCAACAGCTTTACGTATGAAATGTTGACCGGGCCAGTCTGCAACAATAGGAATAACATATTGGGAGAGGTATATCTGTATCGGCTCTTGATCGTATATGATTTTGAGTGCGTTCATATAGCCATCGATGCCTTTCAATTTTCTTTCGACGAAATCAAAAAGGATAGAGTTACGTATGTGCCGATAACTTCCTTGTGATATCAACCTATCATTATAACTGTGTACTGTTAGTCTATCCGTCTGCTCTTCCTTAGGATACTCGTTTGTAATATGAGCCTGCATACGATCTTGATAAAAGACATCAAGATTTACGATAATCGCCTATATCTAGATGTTTTACGATTAACTCGCTATCCACGACTTTGGATTGAGTGCTCTATGGCATGGTACTGCTGGCATCGGACATGGATTCGCCAGTATTGTTGCCATATGTGCTGTCCAGGAAGTATCAGTAGTGTCAGGTTGCCGCTGAACGTGAACATTGTGATGGTCCTCAACGTTCATTACAAGAGCGCTTTCTGAATACTGTATCAAGGCGTTCTCCACATATTGACCGTGCGCATCGGACGTCTTTTTCTTTCGGCGATCAAGTGCCCTCGATGTTGCGGTTACTAAAGCATTCAATCCCTCATTGTTCTTCCCGCTGAATCTAAATAATACGCAAGTTCAAATTTGAAAGCGTTAATTTTTGAATTATTTAACGATGCAAGCAAATAACAAATGAACACCATAAGCCTTTTCATACGATCTACTGCTTGATCATTCCGTTCACCCGGCCGCGCTGGTTGCTCAAAAAAGTCTTTCAGGGCAGGTTCACGTTTTTCTAGCAATTCTCGCATTTCATCAAACATATAGCAACCCTTCCTTATCCACATGCTCTTGTTCATAAGGGATTCAGAAAACTCGGGCTTTGAATCAGACATACTCACCTCTTCATTCTCCGTAACTTTCACTCGCTTACGACTTCTTTTTAATGGATTTTCTACCAAATGCATTTTTCTCCAACTAATGGACGGAATCTAGTTGAACCCGTGGTTTTGCACTCTGTGCAACTCTTCTGTGCAGACATTTTAAATAAGTGACTTGAGAGTCAGTAAAAACTGTTGACACATATGCATACAAATGTCCGGAATTGCCTAATGGTCGTTAGATATGTGAGGAAGGTACAAGTTGTGTTACGTATTTCCATATACAGTCAACTCTCTCTAAATGCACTCTCTCTAAATGCACTCTCTCTACTTAAGTGCACGGTATTTCAAATTCCCAACCTCGGGAATTAGTGATAAGTGCACACTCTCCCTATTCTGCACGTGCAACTGATTTCATAATCCCAAGGCCTCATTTCAATATG